GGGCACCATCAGCTTTCTTCACCACATTTGCTTATGCACCCATTTGTCTTCAGCGATCATATCAGGGAGGTGAGCACACAATGATATGAATTTTTGTTCTTTGATGCCTGTGATAACTGATCATTTTGGCACCTCATGATCACGCAGGCTGGTGTGCTTCTCCCATGTGGGCTCTGTTGCTTCTGAGCTAGATGGTCACTGGTTTACCCTCAAGTCTTTAAGACCCCAGACGCCCTATGTTTCAATAGCTGAGCACCATCAGCTTTCTTCACCACATTTGCTTATGCACCCGCTTTGTCTTCAGCGATTGTGTCCATAGGTGAGCATCATAGAATGAAATCTGGCTCATTTCTATGAAGTTTAAATGACAATGTTTATTTGTGTGAGCAATTTGCTTCCTGGCCGTTGGCTAAGCTAAATGCTAAGCGCCAGGGAGGGGCTGCTGTTCTATTTCCCTCAGAGGCCATGGCCTCCGGATCACTGCCTGGGATACCGTTGACACTCGGTGAACATACGTCATGTGAATGCATGAGCACTGGGCACCTAGCGGAGCTGTGATTGGACCGTAGGGGGTGGGGCTCTAAGCCCCCAGAGCACTGTGCACCAGCCTCTTCATCTTCATCCTCCATGAATCCCACACACACACCCCTGGGGACCAGGCACCGGGTATGGAAATTGCCAGGGTCTGGCTGAGCACTGGAAAGAACCCACATGGCCCGGGACGCTCACTGGGGCGCAGGGGCACGAGCAGCCCCCTGCGGCCCCAGTCCCATCCAGCGCGGCTAGGTTGAGCTCTGGGCACGGCCCCTCCACTGCTGACTGAGCCCCTCAATGGCGCCCCGAAGGATCAGTGTCCAGTCATCGCCTCTCCTCATGGGTGCGCAGCGGGTCTCCTTGCTCTCCAGGGCTCGGATCTCCGCGGGGGTCTCCAGGGTCAGCCCGGCTGCCAGGACAGCTTCTGGGAACTTGGCTGCAGAGGCGGGGGCCAGGCAGCACCAGGGATTACTGCTGGGTGGGTGTGGGAGGTGGAGGAGAGAGGGGAAGGAGGAGCAGGGGTAGGGTTGGGGGGTAGAGGAGCAGGGAGGGGAGAGACGTATTTAACACTGCTCAGGTGTAACTGAAAGGGTGGGGCTTCAAGTCCACCCAGTGGCCCCTCAGAGAAGGGGCCGGAGATCTATTTCTGAAACTCCAGCCATGGAGAATCCCAGGGAGCACAGCTCTCGTCTGACGCTCGCAAGGTGGCTCTGGGCCAGGGGCAACTCCGCAGCCGGGTGGGACTTGCCCCTTGGATCATTCTTCCTGGCATGGCACTCTTCTGGGGGACACCCCTCTGCTGGAGACCCAGCCTAGCCGCCACCTCTCACAGTGGACCCCTGCGGTATCCACCAGGCCCCCTCTGCTGGGCGCAGGATCCCCGGGACACAGTTCCACACGGACCTCTCCTTACATGGCTGCCTCTCCTGCTAGGGGAGGAGAAGCATCCCTAAAAGCCAGAGGCCCCCTGTGACCCATGCCCCACTCGCAGTACCTGGGCTGCCTTCTGTCCATCTGGTGGTAATGGTAAGTCACGGCCACAGCCGAGTGCGGGCACAGCAGGTACCGGTTCTGCTCCCAACAGCGGGCCATGGTCCGAGTGATGGCCTCATCCGGCACACACGCAGACGTCACAGCCGCTGAAAGCTGATGGGGCCCAGGGTCGATGGGGTGGGGCCCAGGGAAAGAAGAGGATAATAAAACCGCCCGATATACGACTCAGTCAGACAGACGCACACCCCGGGCAGCATGGAAATGTGTGATCCGCTTGGCTCAGCTTCAGCCTGGAGGAAAGACTGGCTCTTCAACTTGGTGAAGCCTTAGAACCTCTCTAGAAACGTCAGTTTGGGGTGGATTTACTCTTATCTGGGGGAAGAATACGTTTGCATGTTCAGAGAATAAATTTAGTTAGAATTTGCCTGGGGAACTGGCAAATTCGTTTATAGTTTCATTCCACAACTTGACAAAACAAAGAAGGTTAAAGGTATTCACGCATTTTAGAGCCCCCACCCCCCCAGGTGTGTCCCCTTCTGGTGGATGTGAGAATTCCTCACTGCCCGTTCCCTCCCAGTTCCCACCATACCTTCTCTAGGAAGCGCCTCTACTTCCCAGTTTTCCTTGGGGAATCATTCTCTAAAAATGTGTTGCATGATTATGATGTATCAAAATCCCTGTATAGACTCAACTGTGGCACACACCCAATCAAAATCCCTGTATAGACTCAACTGTGACACACACCCAATCAAAATCCCTGTA